CAACAACAACAACAACAACAACAATAAGAGCAACAACAAAAACAAGAACAACAACAACAACAAAAACAACAACAGCAACAACAACAACAACAACAACAACAACAACAACAACAACAACACGATGGTAGGTGCAAAACCAGTTGGGCAAATTCGCAGGCAATTCCTTTGCCCAGTGTAGCTAGAAATTACTTTTGTAGCTAACAAGGGAGAGGGACAAAACAGCACCACCTAAATATGACCTTCGTAGAGTGGAGACATCTCGGATGTTTGTAGTGTGTCGTGCCCGTTCAGAATGGAGACCTTTACTGCTCCTTCACCCACTGATACATACGCATAATATGTGCATATACCCTGCGAACGCCTTCAGACCCCCATCACCCCCACCCTCCTTCCTTATCTGCTTTCCCCCCTGACAGTGGGTGTAAAGTAGTTACTGGTTAAAACACCATGGCACCACTTTCAACAATGGCATATCATATCAAGTGCTTATCGCATAATCAAGAAGTTCACCGAAACTGAGACAAACAACATTTCGTGCATACACAGAGTACAATGGAACCACCATACACTAATATTACAATCTCTAAAACTGTGTACTCTAAGGTAGTTTCAGTTTGCCACGGAGGGCACCATTAATTGGCTCACTGTAGAACCAATAAATCAAGCGTACGAAGGGAAAAGTAGCTGACTATAATAAAGTAAAAGTAAAGTTGTTCCCGTATCCGATCCCGACATGGGGGATTGCCTTGTTAGTGAGGCAACTTCCTGGGCCTTCGGCATTATAATATTGTGGTGGGTTGGCCAGTTACTTTCCACGCTGCCTTTACCCCCCGAACTCGAAGTCTGGTACCCATTACTGCTAGGTGGACAGGAGGGGGCGAAAAAAATCCGTGTCCGAACTGAGGCTCGAAACCGGACTTTCCGTTTCGGAGACCAGTGCACTAATCGCTCTGCCACCGCTCCCTTGCTGACTACACTGCCTTTAAAAAGTAATTCACAATATTTTTTTAAAGAAAAAAAAACAATCTGTCAGCGTAACCGTTAAAGGAAAAGCGTTTCTCCGAAGTTTGAATTCTAAATAATTTTTTAAAACTAGTCCCAGTATCACGTTGAAAGGTTTACACAAATAGGGAGAATGACCAGACTGTTGATTTAGCAAATAAAAATATATGGGGCAAAAAGTGAAAAAAGGTGTTTTTTTTTTGTCAGCCTAGGGCAGAATAGAGAAATTAATGTTGTACCCTTTATTTGCTCTTCTTCGAAACATCGTAAATCAAGGTTATAGCAGCTACTCACAAGTATCCCGTCACACGGTGCGCAGGTGAATTCAAACCCTGACGGTCCTGCGTCAGTTTGTACGCTCGTGATAAGAACACCCATGTTCTTCATATCGTTCATGAACTCCAAGAAAAGCTCCTGGAAACAGAAACAAAAATGTAAATCCCCAATCGGTCTTTATATTTACCTTTCTGTATCGTTCACCTCAGTCTCTTGACACAAACATTCATTTTTACGGCCTAAATTATCTTGCTTTAATGGGTCCGTTTGCTGTTTCCGGTATAACATAAAGAGATAGCCAGTAGCCTGAAACCCCTCAAGGCCACCCGTGGTTCCCTGCTATCAGATATCATTCCAAATCCGCACACATTCAACATGGCAGCCAGTTAAGAACATAGACGCTATCACTCAAATGTTTCATCTTCGACAGACCGCAAAGCAAGAATTTGAACTCTTAAAATTCATTCATTTCTACACATTCAAAAGAGAGCTGGGAAGTAAACCGACACCCAAACGTCCAGAACTTGGGGACGCATCTCCCTCCGTTTACTCTGAAAACGTTCCACTTTCAAGAAGCACTGAAGTGGCATGTATTCGCCAGAATATATTTGAGATCAACGGACGATTTTCTTAGTTAAATTTCTTTTGAGAATGAGCAGTCATTCGTATATTTTATTATAGGTACTCACAATCAAAATATAAAAGTAAAAATTGCTTACGTAACATAAGACTAATGAAGTAAAGATACAGCCCCCGCTTATTTCCCACCTTTCCACGAACATACCCACGTCTTTCTATTTAAAAAAAATTCAACACTAAAGCGCCGTTCACAATTAATCCCTTCACTTCTACACCGACCTTGGTCTCATGTCTCCTCTGTCTCCTCTGTGTGCTTCGACTGACCATACATCGGGCGACATCATGTGTATTCTTTTGCGGGACAGCATCACACGGTATCTAGACCAGTGGTGATGTTTTATACCTGTCATACCACCAGTTCGTCTATTGCAACATGGACCGATCTCTGAAGATTTTTGTTGTCCTGCCGGGCAGACTGTTTGCCGCGTCTACGCCCGCCGACGAAAAAACGGGTTAATATAATGATATCATATATAACTAGCTGGGCCCCCTTTCGATGAAAGGAATGATCAACTAAAAGTCATTGTCCTACTATATTTACACTCTACTGGAAAGGGGAAATAAATCTTGAGAGATGCAAAAAATTATAAGATCTAGATCTACTCTCAAAACAAAATGCGCCCCACCGCGAAATATCACTTCCGGATTTTCTAAAACTACAGAGACAGAAGCGTCGGCCTACAAAAGCGATCGGCGAAATAAAGAAATTTAGCTTTTTGCAGCAAAACTGTCTCAAAACTGAAAATACCAAAGGCGTCATGATCTGGAGAATATTTTAAAGAATTATTTGGCGAAAACCGCTTGTCGATCGATGTAGCCATTAAAAAGCCTTTTGAATAGTAAAATTCGGCCACCACAAATAGATAATAGATATAATATGATATATCACTCTCTCTCTCTCTCTTTCTCTCTCTCTCTCTCTCTCTCTCTCTCTCTCTCTCTCTCTCTCTCTCTCTCTCTCTCTCTCTCTCCCCTCTCTCTCTCTGACTCACCTGATGGACACCGATTTCTCTTGTGACTCCGAAAGGAAGCTCTTTCTCCATGTCCGCCTTACTCTTGAGACCTTTGATCGTAAACTTGAACTCGATCCCCGACTTCAGCGTTAGACCAAGCTTCTGGAGCTTGTCCAATTGCAGCAGTGCGCATGTTCGAGGACTGGATGCGTCCTGTTAGTGAGGGGACGGGGGTGGTGGTGGTGAGGAAGAGGACGTGCGAGAGGTGTTGGAAATGTTGAGGGGGAACAGTGCCCCTGTTGTATCACCTTTCGTGTTGCTAAGATGTAGGAAGGGAAGAACGCTCTTCAAGTTACATCAAATTGTCTAAGATTTACGAATGTCTGCCATGTCGAGAAATAGACCGTTGCTTCAAAACATTTACGTGTTCAAAATACCTAACTTTGCCACCGGAAAGTGTCGTTCTTAATGCAGTGTAAATTTTGAGAATATACGGAGATGTGCATAATATCAATGTTTAAGAAATAATGCAAGCTACATTTCCAACGTTTCGCCTTTCAGGTTTCACCTGGAGCATTATTTTATAGATAATCTATAGCAACAAAAGCACGCACTTTTTTTAGTACCATTATTATCTTTGTCAATTCAAGCTCTACAACGTGATCGCTGTTTGTGTCACGACCAGTAGGAAACTTGAATTGGTAAAAAAAATATATTATCTTGGAGATCACAGTGGGGTATCCTCTTTGCCTTACACGAACAGGACACAGCCTGCTGTGATTGCCGATGTGCGCAATGATATGGGGGAACTATACTTTTCTTTGACCGAATATTGTATAATTTCGTGAACGCAGCTCTCAACTTCAGCGGAGAAATCACAGACCAGTGAAAAAGAAATGACTGACAGCCCAAGAAGCTTATTTGTTGGGTCGCTCACCAAACTGCCGTCCCAGTGCAGTAGGTCACAGATCACGTGACCAATGTTGTTTCCCCGACACACAGGTGTAGCGTTGGGCACCAGAGTGGACAAGTCTGGCTTGATGTACTTGCTGCCAAATTTGTACTTCTTCACTATGTTTTGGTTCAACACAATAGATCCGTGTATCGTGCAAATACAGATCCCTGTGAATTGATAGAGAGAATGTATTATTATCAGTTTATATTAGTACCATTAGCAATATCGTTTTTGTTGTTGTTATTGTTCTTAATTCATTGTTCTTGTCCTTTACATTATCATTCTTCTTCTTCTTCTTATTATTATTATTGTGTTATTGAAACTGTCATCGTCATCTTCATCATCACCATCATCATCATCATCATCATCATCATCATCATCATCATCATCATCATCATCATCATCATCATCATCATCATCAGCATCATCAGCATCATCATCATCATCATCATCAGGGAAACTTCCACGTTGGTTGTGGCTGTCTTTGTTGAGAACGGTACTCCCCATCGTGAAGGGAACCTCACTTTGAATACCAATGGATCGGTTGTCGAAGGATACCGTGAAAGTGGAGCAGCAACGATAGTGATAATGAATGATGAACCACCACGAACAGACATCATTAGAACTAAAAGTGCATTCCTCAGATCATTTTATGACGAAGAATGCCAGACATTGATGTCTGCTGCACAATGGATTGTTGACAATTGTCACAGTAGAACCAATGTGCTGACCTTGACTGACAGTCAGTCCCTCTGCAAGGGACTGCCAGGCAACAGTTCAGAAGTAAATTATTTTGGCCGCAAGTTCAGTGAAACCACAGCCACAATAAAGATCCAGTGGATTCCAAGCCATTTTGGAATCGAGGGAAATGAGGCAGCAGAACAAGCTGCCAATGGAGCAAGAGAGGTTGAAGAAGACAGACGACCAATAACATACAGGAAAGTCTTTCCAATGATCCACAGGGGAATCAGAGACCCGCCATTGAGAGCTGAGTACCAGCACCTGGAGGATGTGTATTCTGGGTACTCCAATAAACAGGAACAATTTATCACACGTCACTGGGACCAGGTTGAGCCAGCGAGACTGCGGTCGGACCATGATTGGAGCATGAGATGGTATCAGAACTTTGTGAATTAAGAGCTCAACCCACGTTAACGAAGATGTAACCATGAAACGGAGAATGTCAAACATATGTTTCAATGTCCAGGAGCAATGGCAATTATTTTCGAAAGGAGTTATTTGGACGAGTGGAGATGCCTCTAAGTATAATGACAATGGGGCCGAAAAAGAGCCTCGCTCTCGCTCGAAGGTTTTTTCGTTGAGTCCACCAGGCCCATTCAGGAAGCAACAACAGAAAAATCATCATCATCATTATTAGTGTTATTTTTGTTTTAAATATTATTTTTACTTA